CCCTCCAAAAGCAGGAAGTGAACTAAAGGGCAAATGCGACCAAACAAAATTCAAGAGTCTGGCATTACTGGGAGAAATGGTCCTTTACCAGAGAAGAGAGAAGAGAAATCGTACAACTGTTAAAATCTGACGCCACTCCAGTTTTGTTTACATTTTGTGAAGAAGGAAGTTGAACTTCAGTGGTTCTTGGTGCAGCGCCACCACAGGTGAGGAGGGGAACAACCTTTTCAGTTAGTTTGGATTGTTTGTGGAAGCGAACCTCATCAGCTGAAAATGTAGCAAATGTCGCAATTTTGATCCCCAATCCAACCGAGTCTATCAGACTATCAGGTATGAAAACACACCAAGATGCCGCCAGTGATGTAGGGAATCCGTCCAGCTGCTAACCATGACCTGACTGTACTGGAGGCCTTTGAGCTTGCAGCTGGTAAATCTACAGCAGATTTTGTTGCATTGCACAGGAGCTGAGGACAAGAGTTAGCGTTGGTCTCCCTGTAGTTTTACGTCTCCTGGGTCGTTTGCTCCTCGAAGCCCCTCTGAACCGTGGTGGAGTATCAGCCGGCTCTTGTTTCACAGTTCAGTTCATCCCTGCTTAAATACTCGCCTGCAGGATAAACTTGACCTGAGGTGCTCTACCTTAAGCACAGGTGAGGAGGTTTGAGGACAGGTTTTAACTCTAAGAAAGAAAAGAGAGTAGTTTCTCCTAAAGCCTCCGCTCTTTGCTCCTCTTCTTCTGATCCATGCTCTTCCTTTAATCGCCTCTCCTGTTCATCATGTCTCCTGCCTCCTTTTATCTATGTCACGTAGTTCATCTCTTCTAATAAACAAGCACCACCTGCTGTTTTTTTAATTTTTTTTATTTGAAGCTTTACTTGTTAAAAACTGCTCTTCATTAGACTCTCTTTGTAAACCTAACATGCAGCAGATGTTCATGTTGTAGCGTTGGACTGATCAGTTTGTGGATCTGTACTCATGGTAGGTATGCAGCATGTTGTCTGTAACTCTGTTCTGGCTCATCATAGTCGCCATATGCTGCCACCATCTTGCTGCCTTCCCCTTCCCTGTTGTCTGCTGCGACTGCCAGGAGTGAAAACCATAACCAGTCCAACAATCCACCGCTCTGTGTTTGTGCGTTGTGTTGACAGCTGGGCAGTGTGACGGGGTCTCTGGATACGATTTTTCATTTCATGTGGTTTACTCAGCTCAGCGTTTTGTTAACGAGCGATAAAATTTGAGTTTGTCGTTTCACCATGACCATGTCCATTTAGAGCGTAAACGAGATGGAAAAACACTGGCGGCTTCTTAATTTTTATTTTATTTTATTTTTTGGATAAATCATATTTTGCCAACAAAAATAATAAAAATAATGACGTAGGCTGTTATTTTAGGAAGGTAACAATATATACCAGTATATTAAAAAAAATAACAGAAAATGAATTAAAACAAAACTCATGTCTACCAGTCCACAAGTAAAGATTACGTTACTAAATGTACAAACTAAACGACTACTCTGCTGCTTAAAATGAGCAGGATTACGAATGTTTCTGGTGTCTACAAAAGCATTTTAAAGAAGCAGAACATCGTCAGCTGTCACAAAGCACATTAGTGACATTTAATCTGAAATGGTTAAATACATAAAGCCGCCACCTCAGATGGCAGCAGCTTCTCTCACGCCGTCCTGCTGTAACCGTCTCTACCTGTCAGAGTGCTGGAGCTCCAACCCCCGCGGCAGGCCATCCTTCACCAGCATCCTGCGGCGCCTGCAGGCCATCGAGCAGTCCTCCATGTTCCAGATGCCTCTGGAGTCCTTCCACTCGCTGCAGGAGGACTGGAGGCTGGAGATCCAGCAGATGTTTGACGAGCTCCGGGCCAAGGAGAAGGTGAGGACGGTGAAACCAGCCAACCTGATACTGCAGAGCTGGGTACTCAGTTACATTAGTAAGTTTTGTTTTTTTTTTTTTGGTTAATTGGCTTTTTGGAGTATTTTTGCCACACAGTCGTTTCTGGTTTTACTTGAGTAAAATTTCTGGTCTCTCTACCCTCTGAATGGAAAAACAAACATGTTTTAGCCTGATATTCACCAGACTAAACACACTCCTGCAGTTTTTTTTGTTTTTTGAAGTAGTAGTACTCTTGTAGCTGAGTACTACATGGAGCTGCTGGGAGTTTTTAGCCGTTTCGTGAGCCCGACGCCGGGAAGCATCTCACAGTCTGAGGAGGAGCTTCTGCACGTCAGGAATAGCTCAGCAACGAAGAGGTGTTAAATCAGGTTTGCGACACTCATTTCCTCCACCTCCCGGTCTGCAGGAGCTGAGGTCGTGGGAGGAGGCGTTGGCCCGGGCGGCCGAGGAGCAGAAGGAGCAGGAGGAGCAGCTGAAGAGGAGGGAGCAGGAGCTGGCGGAGAGGGAGTTCGACATCGTGGAGCGGGAGCTGAACATCATCATCCACCAGATGTACCAGGAGAAGCCCAGCGTCAAGAAGAGGAAGGGCCACTTCAAGAAGAGCCGGCTGAAGCCGGGCAGGGACAGCAACTGCATCAGTCTGCCCTCTGGTGGGTGGAGAGGAGAAGTGCAGCCTGGCTTAACAGACGCTACCTGCTGGGTCTTCTTGTTGCAGTAGGGCAGAGCAGTACGGCTTAAAAATAAAATATTCAGTTTTTTCCTACCACATCCGTTTTTTACAAATGATAGGAAATATTTTCAAAAAGTGTTTTTTTTATTTTTATGTATTTAATCCCTTCTGTGAATTGGACGACAGAGTATTAGGGCCGGGCTGCAACAATTTTTATTTAAATATGAGAAGATAGTCATAATATTAACAAAATAAAGACGTAATTTGTAATTTTACATGAAGAAATCTTTAAGTCATGAGAAAAAAAAGTAATTTTAATGATCCACAGTGGAGCAGTTGGCAGAGCTGTTGCCTTGCAGCAAGAAGGTCCTGGCATAAACCTCGAGGCATCTCTCTCTCTCTCTCTCTCTCTCTTTCACTCTGCAGGTTTTGAGCACAAGATCACAGTGCAGGCGTCCCCCAGCGTGGACAAGAGGAAGAACCAGGGCAGCGAGAGCACCACGCCCCCCGCCAGTCCGGGTGTCTTACCCCGCCTGCGAGCCATCAGACGTGAGATCAAACGCCTGCAAGTTTAAGAAAGATGCAACAGGAACCGTAAAGTCGCCTAAGTGCTTCCTTGTGTGTCTCAGTGACCCCGAGCGACGGCAGTAAAACGTGGGGCCGCACCGCCGTGTGTCCGAAGGTAGACCTGACGGCCAATAAGAAGAAAGGACGCACCTGGGGGCCGAGCTCCACCCAGCAGAGGGAGCGGGTCGGAGGAGAGGACAAGTAAGAGCTGCTTCTGGCTGAAATAGTTCAGGAAATATAGAGAGTATGATTCAGATTCAACCATGTTTAGCTTTTGGTCTAATGAATGAATGAATGAATAAATAACCTGTATATCTAACTGCTACTGTAAAATAATCATAAGTTATAGAAAGGCTGTATCAACCGCTGAAGTGTGTAAAGGTCGTCTAATAATTTAGATAGAACTCTGTTCAGATTTTAATATATATATATATATATATAAAGAAATGTTAAAGTATAATGAGGATTGGCAGTCTTGTAAAAATTTCCACCGGCATTTAATTGGTTTTACTGGGATTTTATAGGTTAGACCAACATAAAATAGCACTTAATTAAGAAGTGGAAAGAGAAGGTTGCGTAGTTTATTTTTTTTACAAACGAAAATCTAAAAATTACACCTCTTTACTTTGAAACCCTTAAATAAAACCCCGTGCCACCAACTTCCTGTTGGACTTGAATCATTTTAGGCTCCATCTGGGTGTAATTTAATCCCAGTAAAAAATCCCCAAAATATGTGGGGTCACACAAATTGTAGCCTATAATCCCTTTCTAAAGTATGACGCAGCCTTCAGGTCGTCGATTTTGTTTTTCTAAATACTTTCTTTTCACTTCAAATTTATGAGCTGCTTCGTGTTTCTATCAAACTGTCAAAGAAAATCCCAGTGAAACATTTTAAAGTTTGTGCTTGCAGACAAATTGCCGAAAAGCTGTGTGAATATTTCTCACACGGTTCTGTGCTTGCAGGCTGAAATCCCTCAGTGAAGGTAAAGTTTATTCATCCAGTGCGCCAAACCTGGGGAAGTCCCCCAAACACGCTCCCATGATGCCTGGCTTCTCCAGCCTCAATGAGATGGGTGAGTCTCCGCTGGGACCGTCCGCCGGACGTCTCCTCTCAGTCTGACTTTCTCTCTCTCTCTCTGTGGACGACAGAGGAGTGCTCCGAGTTCGAGGAATCGCCGGGGTCCTTGCTGCCCTCGGAGACCAGCAGCAACGGGGCCCTGGACGACTCTGGGCCGCTCTGGGGCAGCTTGGGGCCCAACACGGCGCCTCCGGTCGGCGGCGCGGGCCTCTGCCCAGCGTCCGGAGGCCTGTGGATGGGCGTCAGCAACCAGGACTTGGCTCGGCGCTGCAACCAGAGGAAGAAGAGCGACATGCTGCTGCTGGGCTGCGCCTCTCTGCTGGCCTCTGTTGGCCTGGGGCAGGACCTGCTGCAGCTGGGCAAACAGCAGGTGGGGCCCAAACCACTGGACAACGATGTAGTAGCTTATTATTTAGAGCTGAAACGATTAATTGTGATCAATCGTCAACTGTTTTAGTAGCTGATTAATCATTAACTGCAATATAAACTCAAGAAAAGCTACTTTTCTGAAAAGAACAACACAGTAATCGCAGTAATGGAGCACAAACAGCAGCGTTTGCGTTTAAAATGAAAAATAAAAGCCTTTCTCTTTTAATGAGATGTAGTCAAAACTCCTCAGGTGGTGAAGTGTTAGCTTCACCTGGAAAAGATTTACTTTAAATAATGCTGTGTTGTTTTGTTTTAGGCAATAAATGTTTTTTTTTTTTTACTTGAATCATTTAAATGAATCTGTATAATGTTCCATATTTTTATCCTGATTAATCAATCAACTGTCAGAATAATTGATAGATTCATTAGTTCCATGTCTAATATTATTTACTTATCACATATTTATTGATTGGCCACAGCTTTTAATACTTACAGTTTAATTTTAATGCTTAATTCTATACTTTTCTCTGTTTTCTAAGATAAAATTTAACACAGTGAGGTTGCAAGATTATCAAATGTTTATCCTAACAAAGATTTGGACTTGCAAATTAAAAGATCTGCCTCTTCAGGAGTTTTTGCTAGAACATATTTACAGACTGAAGTGTTTTTATCTTAAATGTAAAATGTATAAATATATATTTGGTACAGTTTGGGCTTAATTACTGCTGTCAATATGTTGCTTTTTTTCTCCAAATGGCCTTTTTTTGAGTCCATTCCTGAATTAGTTGACGATTATTTCACTAATCGATTAATCGCGATCAATCGTTTCAGCCCTATGTTGTCATGTGAGCCGTGGCAGCAGCAGGTGAAGGTACATTGTTTCTGTAAACCTTCTGTGGCTCCCAGATGCTTCAGGACGAGCAGGACCGAGAGGAGCAGCGGAAGAAGAAGGAGGGTCTCTTCCAGCGGACGGGTCGTTTCCGCCGCAGCACCTCCCCGCCCAGCAGAAACCTCTCGCTGACGCTCTCCAGACACCACGACTCCGGGCTCGCCTGCATGGACCCGTCCCCCTCCGTCACACTCCTGTCTCTGTCCTCCCTGTCTGACTGCAACTCCACCAAGTCCCTCCTTCCCTCGGACTCGGACGACTACCCTCTGACCCCGTCGGCGGGCGTCAAGACGCCCTCGGTGGCGGCGCCGCTGTCTCCGGCTCCCGCCCTCAACCCGCTCCTGGACCTGCGGGCGGAGAGCTTCAAGAAGGAGCCCAACCAGTCGCTCACGCCCACCCACGTGTCGGCAGCGATGGCTCTGAACAGAGGACACAGACGGACGCCGTCGGACAGCGCCATCCGGCCCCGGGCGCAGACTCTGGGACACCGCAGGACTCCGTCTGACGGCAGCATGCCGATGCCTCCTCATCCCGTCACCACGACATCTAAAGGTACGCAGACCAATGCTTCACCCACTGCGGCTTCACACGTCTGTGAGACGAAATGTCTCCTCTGTCAACGAGTCCTGGACAAGACGTAGCTGAAATAGTCAAAATATCATTTCTGTTCATACTATCAGGTTGATTAGAAAGGCGATTACTTACCATCAGTAACTGAAATGTATTATGACAGCAATAAATCAAAAATATGCCTCATCATGATCAGAAATCTTTCACGTTAAATAACAGAAGATATGATAAATGCCCGCTCCTATTTACAGCAGTAAGCTGATCAAATCCAATCCCAGTAATAATAGTTTCACTGAACAATAACTAGACTCCACAAGCCCAAACTGGGCTTTTATTGAAATAAAATTTCAGATGATAATTCTGAGCTTAAGTGCAGATATTACCGACCAAAAAAAAAAAAGATCAGGATAAAAACCTGATTAGTGGATTTCTGGTTTAAGGCGAAAAGAAACAGATTGTTTTCTTTGTTTTCTGAGATGTAAAAATGTCTAAAAGGGATTTAAAAACGTAAATATGAACAGGGACAGTGCAGCTTACGAGCTCTACTTACAGCTGTTATTGCTGTAAGTAGACACTTCAAGTCGGGTGTCTAAAACAATCTAAGTGATGAGTAACTCTACATCAAATTACTTTCTGCTACATAATAAAATAAATGTGTATTATTGGCTCTGATACAGAAATAATATTCCAACGGAAAAACTGTCATGAACAAACACCTTCTATATGCTGAAAAAAACACCAAATCTTACCAAGTGTTGAGTTTCTTGTGCAAATATTTCAGTACACTATAAATAAGACAAAACTAACTTGCAATGAAACAGCAGCTTGTTTGTAAGTCAACATTTCCTTAATGTTGGTGAAAACGTTCCACCGGCGCATTAATTTGTAAGAATACATTTTTCCCATATTTTAATAATCTACCAGTAGAAAGGCTTTTTTCCTCCTCAATGAGAAGTAAAACAGGCTCTTATTTCTTGCTGAAAAGTTACTTGTTTGGTTTAATACAACTTTGCTGAGATTCTTTGTTTTTGCAGTCTAGATTCGACCCACATTCATTTTCCTTTTCCTTCCAGGAACGCCAGACAGGCTGGACATCCCTCGCCTCCCGGACCCGTCCATGGTCCACCCCCACGTCCCCCACCGGCGTAAAGCCCCGGCCCCCCCGGCTCCCAGCCCGAATCCCCCCTTTCTCATCAGCCCCCTGGAGAGACCCAAGACCCTGGAGTTCGCCCCGCGCCCGCGGCCCACCCCGGCCCGGATCAGGGCCGACCACAGGAAGCTGGGCTCCGTGTGCCGGACCCTGAGCTCGTCGCCGGGCAGCAGCTGCGACAGTCCCCTGGGCTCCGGGGACAGCAGCGCCGGCGCCACGCGGCCCAATCTGATGGACATGGACATGGAGGGCCAGAGTCTGGACCCGACCGTACCGCTCTGCGGACAGCTGCAGCCAGCCGCTCTGTGCGAACAGCAGTACTTGTAGTGACGCGTTTGAAAGTTTCTGGGGTTCGGAAGTACATCCCACTTCTGAAGATGTTGCACCACTTGGCGAAAGTCGCTCGTCTCCTGAAAAGGCGTGAACCCCTTCCGGCATCCCTCGGCCTCTGCTCTGAATGACGCCGAGGGCCCAGAGGCCTCTGAGAGCCCGGTACTGACCTCGTCCAGCCAAACGTCTTTCCAAAGCGTCTAAAAGAGCCACTTTTTAAAGGTACCGACGGTCATCTCAGTCCGTCTCCTACTGCTGTTTCCTGTCTGTGTATCTCTACGCATTTCCGCTTCCTGTCCGCCGCGTGAACAAGACCAGAAAAACATCGCCTCGTGTTCGTCGTCGTAGTTCGGAGCATGTTTGTTCTTCCTCTGCACGGTGGTCTTCATCCTCATCTCTCTAAACCTGAAAGGGAAAAACAAAAAAAATCCGTTCCCCCTCAACCTCGGTGGTCTGGTTACATGTGCATTAAAAACATCTATTTCCGCCACTTTTTTGCAATCTGGTGGTTGTTTTTCATTGGTTTAAACATCGCTGTCTGCTTCTTCTGCCTCAAAGTTCAGATATGATCCAGAGCTGGCCATGTTTACTGGAACCCCTGGTAAAGATGATAAAGATCAAGTTGATGTAACAGTAAATTCATCTTTTTCTGCAGCGGCGTAGCCATGTAAAGAAATAATTGCACCTTAGAAAACCAAAACTATTAGTATCTCAACCAATACCTTTAATATAAAAGAAAATGAATCATTTTCTACATTTTTAAAAACTTTTTAAGTTAATCAGACTTTCTAAGATATGTTTTTATTAGTGATCCATACATCAGGCTTTTTAAAAACTATATATATATATATATATATATATATATATATATATACACACACACACACACACACACACACACACACACACACACACACACACACACACACACACACACACACAGCTCTGGAAAAAACTAAGACCACTGCATTGACCCACATCAAAACCTCCTTGTTACTCCACCAAACATTGATTT